AGTTTTGAAAATTTAATTCATGTTCCTTAAAAGGAGTCCAGGCAATGTGGAAAAGTACAAAGAGTAAAGCTTAAAATTATTCTAAATTCTACCAGTAGAACTAATCCTCATTAATATTATGTAAATGTCATTCCAGAGAGCATTCTCTTCACATGCATCTTAACATAAGGAAGAAAAAGTAGATAGATGGAGGAATGAAGATAGATAGCTTGTACTATTATAAAAAATACATGATATTTTTAATTAAAAACACTGTTTATCAAAAATAAATAAATTATAAAACTTTTTTTTTACCAGTATGTATTAAAAGATCTAAGAAAAAAATTTTAGATTAGAATTATGTTGAGCTATATTTCAGTTTTATATAATATCTCTTAATTCTATTAAGGATATTTAAGCAGTACTTCCTCATTCTGTTAAGAAAATTAGTGTACTTTCTTCTATCTCTTCTTCCCTGACTCCCATTTTCAATTATGTTATTAATTTATTGTTGTTCATAGCATTTGCATTAAAATCTATGGACATAATTGCTGTAGTTGAGTCTGAGAGTTACATTTGAATGGATTCAGTGCCTACTATGGGCCCTTTTACCATGACTTCTCCATTCCTAAGTTTTTTATTTTGATTTGTCTCTTGTTTGACTGGATTTCCGATAGCATGTGTTTCTCAGGAGGATCACAAAGACATTATCTGCCAAGTTCTTTCATATTTAGTGATGTCTACCCTTTGCCTTGTTACACTGGAATGACATCTTGGGAGTGGGTATAGGATTCTTGAATGTACTTTTCCTCAGACCTTTGTAGTATTGCTTCATTGTCTTCTGACATTGGCTGTTGCTGTGGAGCAGTCTGAAGCCAGGCTGATTTTCTTACCACTTTATAGGTAACTTTTTTGTCTAGATCTCTGAAGTATTATTTTTACAACCAAGAAACTTGTCAGTTTTAGTCATTCACTATCAGTTATTGTTGTTGTTTGGAACACAGTGTATTCTTTCAGTGCAGATTTAGTACTTTCATTTAAGGGAAATTTCTTGGACTGTACTCTTGAATACTTTTCCTGTTCCATGTATTGTGTTCTCTACTTTGGGGATAACAAGTATCCTTACATTGCAGTGGTCCTTAAGCTTTTTGACTCCAGGGACTGGTTTCGTGGAAGACAATTTTTCCAGGGATGGGGGAGCAGCGGACCTCTGTGGACCAGTACTGGTCCATGGCCTGGGGGTGGGGACCACAGTTAAATAGGGTTGTCTTTGTCTTCCATAATTATTATCTTCCTTCCAGTTGCTTTTATCTTTGACTTTTCACCCTAGATGCAATGCATAATTTACTTTTGTTTCCTTTTTTTGTATTATTAATATGTTTATATTGTTGCCATGTCTTTTCATCTTGCTAAAGTGTTAGCAGCCCTATCCAGCAATTTTATTTGCTCTGATATGTGTGTTACTGAATTCTGCTGTCTGCACTTCCTCAGTATTTAAGATTCGATTCTGTAATCCTAGCACTTTGGGAGGCCAAGGCGGGCAGATTGCTCGAGGTCAGGAGTTCCAAACCAGCCTGAGCAAGAGCGAGACCCCATCTCTACTATAAATAGAAAGAAATTAATTGGCCAACTAATATATAGAGAAAAAAATTAGCCGGGCATGGTGACACATGCCTGTAGCCCCAGCTATTGGGAGGCTGAGGCAGTAGGATTGCTTGAGCCCAGGAGTTTGAGGTTGCTGTGAGCTAGGCTGACGCCACGGCACTCACTCTAGCCTGGGCAACAAAGTGAGACTCTGTTTCAAAAAAAAAAAAAGATTCGATTGTTTTCCCCTCTAAGCTACAGTTTAAGGATTGGAGTTTTCTTGTTTTGCACATTTTTCTATACCCTAAGGACATGGAGGTAGAGTGCATATGTATTAAAACATTATAAAGCCTCGGCATTTATAATTTTTGTATTGATATAGAAAGATCTTTAAAGGGAAGAAAATGAGGGTATAGAACAATGTGTATAAAATACTGCCATTATGTAAAACATTGGCAAAAAGTATGTATATGCATATATATAAGTATCTTTATACATTCACATACATGTTTGCTTTACACACCTAAAACATATCTCTGGAATGCTAGACAAGGCATTAATCATCGGTTGCCCCTGGGTGGCAGTAGGGTGGGATTAGGAGGGAGACGTTTCTCTATAGCTTTTTAGACTTCTTGTATTTTAAAGAATGTGAATGAGCCACATATTAATAAATTATGTGGACTGTTCTTTCTGTTTGAGATTTAATTGCCCTGTTCAGGATCCCTCAACCCTGTAGGAAGTGTATCCCGTTCCACAGGGAACTCTGCATCCGTCCTCCGGCTCAGTGTGGGCCCCAGGCTTAGTACCAGTGAGGTGGCTCCCAGTTAGTCACCCCCACACACACCACCGCTTTCCAGTCTCTGTGTCTGTCACAGTGCAGCTGGCAATCGGTGTTTCTCTCCAAATCTGGGCTTTTTAGTGAATATTCTCAGGATTTTGTTAACTGGTTAATATCCCTTTTTGGGGAAGGAGAGAGGGTAAAAGTTGTGCCATAATCTTTCTTTTCTTGCCTAGCACATTTAAAAGTATGTGCCATTAAATTGTACCCATTCCTTTTGGTTGCTGCTGCTGATTTTTGTTATTGTTGTTGTTGTTTAATGTTGTTACTTTTGATTCTGTATATTTGGGATATGGTTAGGGAGAGTCTGTGATCTGATTTTATTTGTTACTATTTGGTTTAATTTCTGGCACCAACTTGGTGTTCTCCCTCCTGGCTTTGGTCTAGTCTCCATTACCCACATATGCCTTGATGGTTGGCCCCTTCCCTGGTTCCTCCAGGTCTATCTGAACACTGTCCTCCTCTACTCCAGCCTTGCCTTGCCTTTCCTGGCCAGTCATGTGTTGTTTAACGATGGGATATGTTCTTAGAAATGCGTTGTTAGGCGATTTCGTTATGTGAGCATCACAGAGTGTACTTACACAAACCTAGGCAGTATAGCCTACTACACAGCTAGGCTATATGGTATAGCTATTGCTCCTAGGCTACGAACCTGTACAGGGTGTCACTGTGGTGACTACTATAAGCAGTTGTAACCCAATGGTCTTTATGTATCTAAACATAGGAAAGGTACAGTATAAAAGATAACCTGTGTAGGGCACTTACCATGAATGAAGCTTACAGGACCAAAAGTTGCTCTGGGTGAGTCAGTGAATGAAGGCCTAGGACATTGCTGTCCACTGCTACTGGCTTTATAAACACTGTGCACTTATACTACACTAAATTTATTTTTAAAATATCTTTTCTTCAATAATAAATTAACCTTCGCTTACTGTAAAGTTCTTACTTTATAAACTAATTTTTTAACTCTTTTGTAATACCACTTAGCTTAAAATAAACACATTGTACAACTGTACAAATATGTTTTCTTTCTTCATATTCTTATTATATAAGCTTTTCATATTTTTTAAATTTTTTTGCTGTTGAAGTTTTTTTGTTAAAATCTAAGGCACAAACACATTCACTTAGGCTGACACAGGCTCAGGAACATCAATATCCCTGTCTTTTACCTCCACATCTTATCCCACTGGAAGGTTTTCAGGAGCAATAACGCACATGGATCTGTCATCTCCTATGATGACAGTGCCTTCCCCTGGAATAACCCTGAAGAATCTGCCTGAGGCTGTTTTGCTGTTAACTTTTTTTTATATAAGTAGAAGGAGAATGCTCTAAAATAATGATTAAAAAGTATAGTATAGTAAATATTAATACATAAACTAGCAACACAGTCATTTGTTATCGTCATCAAGTATTATGTACTGGGCTATATTTTCATACGACTGGCAGTGCAGCAGGTTTGTTTATACCGCATCACCACAAACACATAACTCGTTGCATTCTGACATAATGACAGCTATATCACTAGGTGATAGGAATTTTTCAACTCTTATTTTAATCTTATGGGCCTGCCATTGCATATTCAATCTGTTGCTGATGGAAACATTATTACACAGTGCATGGCTGTACTTAACTTCCAACCTGGTCTTGGTCATACGTAGCCAGTCTTACAACCCCAGTTACCCCACCCATCTGAGGGCTGCACTGGGCAGGGAGGGTTCCCATTGCTGCCCAGCTTGCAGGGCTCAGCAGTTTAGGGAGCTGTCAGTCTGCACCCTGGTTCTGGGAAAGCAAGCAACTAGTTGCCAGATTCCCTTTATACAGTTTGCTTAACACACACACACACACACACACACACACACACACACGGCTGTGTTTCTTTTATCTGACAATGTTTTGCTTCAAAAGTTCATTGCCCTTTCAACATAAATTCCCAAAATTATTTCTCAAGTTATAACCTCGCCTTGCCAAGGATTTGCACTGCTGACAAAGATGTCTTTCTGAAACCAAGAATGTGATCATGCCATTCTCCTGTTTACAAATGTTTGGTAGCCTCTCACCTTCAGGAAAAAGTCCTAAAAATAAGAGCTATGATAAAGCAAATCATTTACAGCCCAAGAGCATAAGTTCACAAAGGATATCGTGTTTTTCACTTTTGAATCCCCAGCACTGAGAACTGCACCTGGCACAGAGTAGATACTCCAAAAATATTTGGTGAATAAAATAACAAATAATAGGTGCCTAGTAAATCTTTTTTGAATTAATTTTAATCTAATGAGAGTTTACTGATGAGATTGCAGAATCTCTCTGTCATCTGAAAACAACCAATTAAATCAACAACAACGAAAATTTTGTAGTTTGGGTTTTAACATGCTATATACCATTGTGTTCAAATAAGAAGTAATGGCACATAAATGCAAACACAGTAGGATTGACTGCAAGAAGTGTCAAAAAGACAAAAAGAAAGAGGATGTAGTCTGTCTTATCTGTCTGTGCTTGACATCCCATAAAGATTTGTGGTAACTCCTACGTAAAACATCATAATGTAGTGTACTTCAGATTTGGCTTGAAGCTTTCTGAGTACCAAGTGGAAAAGGGTGACTGAGTTATATAATTTTTATCATTGGAAAGGAACAACATTTCTTAACATTAAGTTCTAAAACAAATTTCCCACCTGGGGCTTTATATCAGGGGCGTTGAGTGATGGGGGGATGTTATACCGTATATCATTCCTACAGCAAATAAGGTAATAATTTTTTGACAGTTTCTTATGAAATCCACCTGATAATAACAGTAAGCCCAACTCAATGATGCCAGTTCTTTTCAGAGCTGAGATAACGTGGTCTGTCTCTGTGGCCGTCTGTTGTTGTCTGGCTTGAATCCAAGGATAGACTTAGAGCTCCTTGCCTTCAGATGGTCCTCCTTAAATAAATGTCCTTCTTCCTATGGCCTTTTGACCACAGGCATTTTGAGATTGTGCTGTCAGGCTAGAGGCTGAATTGTTGTTTGCTGGGTGACTGGTGGAGGTAGGTGCATATGCTATAGAAACTAAGTGAGAGTTGGTTTGAATGATGTCATTTGGAGAAAATTCATGTACCCAAGTAGGCAAGTTCCCTGGATAGGGATTGCAGGAGCACCTACAGGCAGGGCCAGAAACATCTCAGTATCTGCATCAAATTAGAAAGTATCGATCAGTTTTTTATTCACAAATTATTAAGATTTAAATTTATTGCCAAGGGTAGGCTAAAGCAGGAACCCTTTGTATATTGCTGGTGAGAATATAAATTGATAACAGAGTTTTGGGGAAGCAATTTGGCAATATAGTTCAAGCTCCTCAAAGACATTTGACCTAGTACTGCTACTTCTGGGAAAATGTCCCAAAGAAATAATCCTTTTAAAAAAGCAAAGGTCTCTTTTGTAACAACCTAGATGGAACTAGAGACCATCCTTCTATGTGAAGTATCGCAAGAATGGAAAAACAAACACTCAATGCTAAATTGGAACTAATCAATCAATACATGTGTACATATGGAAGTAATATTCATCGGAAATCAAGCAGGTGGGAGGGGGCTGAAGGGGGCAGGTAGATTCATACCTAATGGGAACAGTGCATACTAACTGGGTAAAGGGCACACTTAAAACTTTAACTCAAACTGTACAAAAGCAAATTATGTAACTAAAACATGTATACCCCCATAATATACTGAAATTTAAAAAAAGCAAAGGTCTGAGCCTCAAAAATTTTTATGTTATTTGTAATACTTCATTTCTTCATTTATAGTATCAAGAAATTGTAGGCAATTTAAATGTCCCACAGAAGGAGAATAAACAAATGTATTCACTGAAAGGAATATCATGACTCAAGCTAAAATGTTTTGAAGAATATAAGACAGAAAATTCTTAAAATGTTAAATGAGAAAAGCAAAATACAAAGTATATAAACAATAGAAGTTGAACTGTGTTCAAAAATATGTTTAGAAGAGAAGACTGGTAGGAAATATACCAAAAGAGTAAATCACTGTTTTTGAATACTAAAACTTTTTAAGAAAAACACTCTGAAAGGAAGACAGATATAAATATTCATATTCCCGAGAAAAGGGTGTTTTTAAAAAGTTTTTTTAGAGATGAGGTCTCAGTCTGTCATCCAGGCTGGGGTGCAGTGGCACCATCATAGCTCACAGCAGCCTCAAACTCCTGGGCTCAAGCAATCCTCCTGCCACAGCTTCCCAAGTACTACAAGTGCATGCCACCACACCGGGCTGATTTTTTTTTTTTCTTCAGTTTTTAGAGATCGAGACTCACTGTGTTACCTAGGCTGGTCTCAAACTCCTAGCCTCAAATGATCCTCCTTGCCTCAGCTTCCTCAGTTTGTAGGCGTGAACCACAGCACCTGGCAAAAAGGGGAGTTATATAGTAGAGAAGAGATAATTAATCAACCTGTGTTCGGCAGAATGACAGTTCTTCCCTAGACCTTCCAGATCCCTGTGTGATCCCAGTCACGCTTACTAAGCATTCTAATTTTGACACCAGAAAAAAAAGTACCCTGGTGAATGGCATAAAATTAGGTTTTTGAACTTGCAAGTCTTAGAAATCAAAAAGTTTGATGTCCCCCTATCCCTACCCCCAACCAGATACAGCAGCAACCCTGGATCATTGCAGGGAACATTAGTAGTCTAGCCCATTGCTTCAGTGGCCAAAGGAGAAAGAGCAAAAATAAAAGGGAAAAATCATATTTATGTGATGAGCTGGTCTTTGAGTTTTTAAAAAAAGGAGAAGCTGGAAATAGTGGTCATCTTTCTTTAAGCAGCAAATGCTTAATAATTCATTTAAGAAATCTTTTAATTCTCAGTCCTTTTTAAAAAAAACTTTTTCTTAAAGTGTGATCTAAGTGTATCACTAAATGTTTGACTCACTAATTAGCTTCTTTAGCTGTATTATATAATTATATAACTAGGTTTTATACTTCACTCATACTTTTTTTTAATAACAGCTTTGTTCAGATATAGTCCACATGCCATACAATTCACCCACTTAGAGTGCTTAATGAGTTGTGCAACCATGGCCACAGTCAATTTTAGAACATTTTCATCACCCCGAAAAGAAATCTCCTGCCCATTAGCATTCACTCCCCATATTCCCCCAAACCTTGCCCAAGGTAATCACTAATCTACTTTCTACCATGTTTCCCCGAAAATAAGACCTACCCATAAAATAAGCCCTAGCAAGATTCCTAAGCATTTGTGCAATATAAGCCCTTCCCCGAAAATAAGACCTAGTGATGGGCGGGGCTATGCAGCGTATCTGCACAACCCATGCATTTTGTCATGGAGCGGTAAAGAAGATGAGCAGCCCTTCTCATCTGCCCCATGAGAGCTCTATTGCTGGACATGAGAGACTGGGGCCAATGGTTCTAAAGGAAATAGAGTCGCAGTAAATTCAGGATGGAATTCGAGGTTTGGAGAGTTATGATGATGTTCCAGAAGAAGACGACTTAACTATATTTGAATAAATGTAGATTGTTTTACTATACTTAAAAAAAAACATATCCCCTGAAAATAAGCCCTAGGGTGTCTTCTTGAGGAAAAATCAATATAAGACCCTGTCTTATTTTCAGGGAAACATGGTACCTCTTATAGATTTGCCTATTCTAGACATTTCATATAAATTGAATCATACAATAATATGTGGTCTTTTGTCACTGTCTTTCACTCAGCATAATGTTTTCAAGATTCATTAATATTATACCATAAATATATACTTCAGTTTTTAAGATTATTCATTATTTTTTATTCTAATCTTCCATTTTATGGATATACCACATTTTATTTATGTGGTATTCATCTATTAATGGATACTTTGATTATTTCTACCTTTTGCCTAATGTGAATACTGCTATGAACATGCATGTACAAGTTTTTATGTAGACATCTATTTCATTTCCTTTTGGAGATGCACACACACACATATACATACACATTCCTAGGAGTGGGAATGTGATCACATGACAATTCTTTATTTAACCTTTGGAGGCAGTGCCAGACCGTTTTCCAGAGTGGCTGCACCAGTTTACAGTACCACTAGCAATGTATCAAGTGCGGTACGGTTTCTCCTCATCCTTGCCAGTAGTAGTTACTATCTGTCTTTTTGATTATAGCCATCCTAGTGGATATGAAATATATCTCATTTTGGTTTTGATGTGCATTTCCCTAATGATGAATGATGTTGAGCATCTTTTCACGTACTTATTGGCCGTTTGTGTATCTTCTTTGGAGAAATGCCTATTGACATTCTTTGCCCATTTTTAATTGGTTATTTGTCTTTTCATTGTTGAACTGTAAGTTCTTTATATATTTTGGATATAAGTTCCTTATTATATATGATTTGGAGATATCTCCAAATCATATTTGAAGATATTTTCTCCTATCTGTGGATTATCTTTTCACTTCCTTGATGGTGTCCTTTGAAGCACAAAAGGTTTTAATTTTGATGAAGTTCAATTTATTTATTTTTTGTTGTGATTTTAGAGTCATATCTAATAAATCATTGCCTAATCCACGGTCACAAGATTTACACCTGTGTTTTCTTCTAAGAGTAGTATAGTTGTAGCTCTTACATTTAGGTCTTTGATCCATTTTGTGTTAATTTTACATATATAGTGTGAGGAAGTGATCCAATTCCATTCTTTTACATGTGACTATCCAATTGTCCTAGCATCATTTGCTGAAAAGATAGTTTTTCCATGGAATTGTCTTAGCATACTTGTTGAAAATCAATTGGCTGTAAATGTGAGGATTTATTTTTGGACTCTCAGTCTATTTCATTGGTCTTTTATGTCCATACATTTATTTATTTATTTATTTATTTTTTTTGAGACAGAGTCTCACTTTGTTGTCCAGGCTAGAGTGAGTGCCGTGGCGTCAGCCTAGCTCACAGCAACCTCAAACTCCTGGGCTCGAGTGATCCTTCTGCCTCAGCCTCCCGAGTAGCTGGGACTACAGGCATGTGCCACTATGCCCGGCTAATTTTTTATATATATATATCAGTTGGCCAATTAATTTCTTTCTGTTTATAGTAGAGACGGGGTCTCGCTCTTGCTCAGGCTGGTTTTGAACTCCTGACCTTGAGCAATCCGCCCGCCTCGGCCTCCCAAGAGCTAGGATTACAGGCATGAGCCACAGCGCCCGGCCATTTATATTTTTCTTTCATCGTTTCATTCGTTTTGCTAAGATTTATTGGGTACATCTAGATGCCAAGAATTGTGCTTGACATATCCAGGTTATTTGCTTTTGGGAACCAAACTGTCCCTCAAAGCCTAAATTTTCTTTAGGAAACTCATTCTAACAGGATATAACATCTCTTTATCTTAATGAGGTATAAAGTGATTTTCTCTTCTAGCTGAACCGTAGAGGCAATTGTAGATCTATCTGACTCATGCATGGTCTTTTGGCAAGTTGTAGTTTGTCCAACTGTATGAATGTTCAGAAGTCCAAGTGCATTTGGAGCGCTTGGAAGAATGAAAATTGGTCTGAGCTAGTCCAGTGAGATGAGATTAGTTTTAAAGTGAAAGAAGGATCTACAACCACGATGGGAGGTTCCTGCCGTGTGTGGAGTGGCCCATGTGTGAGTTGAGAGGCACAGGAAGGTGGTAAGTCTAGTTGCTGGCAGCAGAAAGGCCAGAGAGAAGTGGAGTGCCTGCTGGATTGAAAACTGTTGTCAAATTCTGCTTCCAGAGTTTATTTTAGTAGCAGTTCCATGCCAGTGTAACGTTATAAAGAAAAAATTATGTTTACAGATTATGGCTTATTGCTGGGTTCAAGATTAGTTAAAGGAGGCAAGAAATTTATATAATGGTAGTAGCTCATCTCTAGATAGGAATTACAGTTGCAGGAATTGAAGGGACTGTCCAAAGAAATGTAAACTTAGCAGAATTGTGTGATTATCTAAATTAATTAAAGGTGATTCCAGTATTATAACTTGAGGACATTGAGAGGACATTTGTATCAATACATGTAATGAACAAGGTGGAAAGAAACAGATTTAAAGATAACCATTGATTTCAATATGCTTATTGGCAAAATATTTAAATAGATACTAAAAGATACCTAACTTAACCATTAGATAATATATCAAGTCTGATATCTAAGAGCTTCTAACATTCATTAGATACAAATAAGATTCATTTCCCATCTAGTGTTGTTGCCTGTTTGTTTTGAAACCCATATTATAAAATGACCTCTTACCTGTTAATGTCTGATTGTAGAGGTTAGGTGGTGTTTTTGTTTTCTTCATCTATATAACAAGTGTAAAAATACTTGGTCATTGGTTTTGAAAGGCTTAAGAAAGGTACTTGGTTTGGTAGTGCCACTAACAATATTATTGTTTTTCACATGACAAGAGTGATTCTCACTCTGGCTCAGGATACTTCTGAAGATGCAGAATGTTGGCATGACCGTCATTCTGCATCAGAATCTCTGCTGTACATGCATAGTGATGTACAGCAGAGTAATCCTAGCATTCTGGGAGGCCAAGGCAGGCGGATCGTTTGAGCTCAGGAGTTCGAGACCAGCCTAAGCAAGAGTGAGACCCCCATCTCTAAAAATAGAAGAAATTAATTGGCCAACTAAAAATATACATAGAAAACATTAGCTGGGCATGGTGGCACATGCCTGTAGTCTCAGCTGCTTGGGAGACTGATGCAGGAGGATCACTTGAGCCTAGGAGTTTGAGGTTGCTTTGAGCTAAGCTGACACCACGGCACTCTAGCCCGGGCAACAGAGTAAGACTCTGTCTCAAACAAAACAAAACAATATTATTGTTTTGAGGGAGGAAAAAAGTATTTAATACTGACTGTATTGAAAAAACGTAATCTGTATAGCAATATAGATAAGTTTCAGTTGCTCAAGATGGTTTTGTCTCTAAACACTTAAGTGCAAATGTTTTAGAAAATGTATTCTATGTTGAAACTTAATACTGTACGTTTATTCATCCATCCTAAAATTTCTTTCAGGAATTGTTCCATCTTCCGTTGTCCTGACTTCTTTCCAAGTGATGTCAAGAGTTTTTTTAATATGGGCAGTGACACATAGCGTCAAAGAGGTAAGTGTTTATACAGACTAAAATAAAATAATATCAGCACTAACAAACACTAGTCAACTTTCTCTTTCACACGTTTGTTGTGGCTAAAATGAGAACTCCAGGTCATATCAATGTAGCTGAATAAAATTCACATTCACTGTAGAAATGGAGTTAATAGTGGGAAACATACCCCATATATGCAGTGTTGCTAAAGAGAAGACTGATGAAATGGTACGGTCCTGTGATCTTAGTTCTCATGGAGGTTTGGATGGTGTGGATGTGGTCTGCACCTCAGTTATATTTTTCTAGTATCTTGTTTGTATCCAGCACATTAAACTCTGGGCATCTGCATCTTCACAGTGGGAATGGGAGACACTGATTCATCCTCAGAGCAATTCAATTCTTTTGGACCAGGAGAAACAAACTTGTTTCCACCCAGCCTACCAGGATAAATGGAATTGCCAAATGTACTGAGTCTAACAGTTCTGAGAGACCAGTGCTCTGACAGGGGCCTAGAGTGGCAGATACCTAGGCAGCCCCAGGGACACTCATTGCAAGAATTTGATGAAGAAAACCATCATCACCATGGGTGTGAATTTGTAACTAAGCTTTCATTTTTTGGAGGGGGGGGCAGTTTCTGCTTTTTCAAAGTCAGTTTTTTCTTACTAATATCGCCTTGAGGTACAGTACTTGTAGTCACAAGAAGGATTCATTTTTCAACTGTCTAGTCCATTAGCATTATTTTGGCATTTTTTTTCCCCTCTATTCTTCTGAAATCCCTGTCCAAACATTTTGTTTTTCAGGATTTATTTTGACAGTTTCATTTGTATTTCACCTAATGAGGGTTTTTTTTTAACCTTTTTATTGGTGTGTGATATATATCCAGAAAAATATATATAGCTAATGAGTTTTTAGCCAAAGTTTAATACACTTTGGTTAATAAGCTATTATTTTTGTTATTAATATATTTGCATGGAATTTGCAGATCCATGTGCTTTTAAAAAAAGATCTATCTCCTTGAAAAGGTCTAAATTTCACATGCAGAAAGAATGTAAAATAATTTTGTGCCCTTTTTTAGTGATTACATTTATTTTTTAAAAAAGTTTAAAACAGGCAAATAAATTCTAATATTCACCTTTGTTCTCACTCTTAATTGTTTATGGAGTTAGGAAAGTTATTTAAAAATACCACATCATCTCTTCATTTATTTCAAAGTCCTTTCTACAAATTGTCATTTTTAACCCATGTAGTAATACCCCCCTTATCTGAGTGGGATACATTACAAGACCCCCAGTGGATGCCTGAAGCTATAGTTACTATGCAACATGTCTTCCACCCACAAATTTAATGTCTTTTCCATCTTAACTAAGCACTTGTCTTGCATTGTGGCCACAACTTTTGCAGTTTGAGGTGCAACAGCAAAATTAGCACAAATTTCTTTTTCCTTCTTCACAATTTCACAAATAGGAAATTCATTCTTACTGTAGATCTTAGCAACCTCAGCATACAATTTGTTTACTTTCCTTAGTAAGTGGAGAAGTTTTACCTGTTCACTTAAAGAAAACCCTTTATGGTTCCTCTGTAGCATATCTGAATTGCCAGCATCACCGCTCTTGCTCTTTGGGGCCACTATTAAGTAAAACAAGTGTTGCTTGAACACAGGATCTGCTAACTGATAACTGGGTGACATATACAGCATGGATACACTGGACTTAGAGAAGATTCACATCCCTGCTGGCACAGAGCAGGGCAGTGTGAGATTTCATCAAGCTACTCAGAACAGCGCCCAATTTAAAACTTATGAATTGTTTATTTCTGGAATTTTCCATTTAATATTTTCAGACCAAGGCTAACCAGCGGTAACAGAAACAAAAGCCCAGATAAAGAAGGACTATTATATTTCTTCCTCTCTTACTTTTATGTATATAATTTTTCCTTTTCATTTTCATTTTAACCAACTTATAACTTTGTCTGACATTGGTCTCCAGTAACCTAAAATTTCTTCCTAGTAGTAACTCATTTACATTCTTAAATAGGCAATTATGTACTTTCAATAATTAAATGCTAGGTACATGAAGTCAAAATATTGTTCACTATGGAGTATTCAATCATTCTGCCAATATAGTCAGATATTGATTGTCTAGGTACTAATGGTCCAGCTGATAGATTATCCATAGCCTTGCTTCTCCTCCTCCCTCCTGCTTCAGTGACCACTTCTGATGAGCAGGTCTGCCAGAGGGTAGACAGGCACATCAAACATGCTTACAATTCAAAGCAGGCAGTTCTGTTAGTCAAATTGCTGTTAGCAGCATTTGCCAGGATTTCCGGGGCAGATCATTGAGACAGGTTGGCTTAAAAAGCTCTTAGTATCTCTGTGGATTACAGGTCCATGGGCCTGGCTGTCATCCTCAGTGACCACGCCACCTGCCAGATGTATAGACTCAACATGTACCAGATGGGCTCACATATATTATCACATTTTAGCTGTACAGTAATTTAGGTTATATATGCATTACGTTTGCATATTTTAAATTGTTTCTCTGCAACCAAAGTGGCCCAGTTTCTGCTAACATTAACATATTTTCTGAAGAGTGTAGTGTGGTAAATTTTATTGTCTTTCTGTCACCTCTTGGGTCCTTGTTTTTACCTATACCTATTGATTAGTCGACCACCTCGTTTCTCATGTCAGTAGGGTTCGATATTTCTGCTTTTCTGGGATCAGGTTCTTTTCTCCTCATTCCCCTTTTGTTTGAATAAAACTCACTGGTTTTGTTTAGAGCAGGAGATTCCCTCTCTGGCCCTGCCCAAGTCTGCAACAGCTAACTTAAAAAGACTGTTGCTGTGGCACTTCAGAGGCCAGTCTGGGTGCTGTCACCTGTTCCTCAGCCCCTTCCCTTGGCCAAATGCTATTTTCCTGGCTTCGAGTTTCATATTAGCTATAATTCAATTTGTTCTGTACAACATTACACACGACTTACATTCTATTTCCTGAAGCATCTTAAAAATATCTTTATTTTCCTTATATTCAGCTCTGCTTGCCCTAATGGTGAGAATCATATAACTAATGCATAAGGAAACTGACCTCAGAAATAAGTGCTTAATAAAATATGTCTCAGTTTTTCATAGTGATGTTTGACCTCTTTTTATGCTGTTATCATTTCTCAGGTTTTTTTTTTTTTTACATCAGATTCCCCTCTAAAGTGGATAAGAATTCTTCATTTTCAACACATTCCATTTGGATCTGAGCTTCTGTTTCATCTTCTCTGATCTGCTCATGGTTTTCTATGCTCATTTCCCTTGTTTCCCTATAACTGTACATGATGCCCTGAGGAGTAACCTTATACCTTTTAAGACTAGACTCTACTTTTTTCACATATGAGGTGAAAAGGCCCTACAGGACCTGTATCCTCACTTGTCACTTTAGTTTCTACCCCATGGAATGCTAGTCATGTAAATGTCACCATGTACATTGTGAACCTAAAAAGTGATCAGATGGTTTTCCACCCATCAGCTAGGGTGATGCCTTGATCAGCAGGATATCAAGGAAAAAATTGTGGTCTCTGTTCTCAAAAGCTTTTTCATCTTCTAATACAGCAAATAACCTTTTTCCTTTTATTTTTTATTTTATTTAATTTTTCTTCCTTCGTGCACAATCTTGGGCAGGAACCTTTTTCCCTTTAAAGAGACCATATATATGAAGAAAGAAGAGCTCTGGCAGAACATGCTGCGGCGTGGGTAGGGAGGCGGGACGTGGGGATACAGGATTCAGTGCAAGTCTGCCCGTTTCCTGTCTGGGTTGTCTCAGCTTTCCCAGCCCTGAGCTGGCTCCTGCCCCCTACCTTAGCTGGGCTGGCCACTGCTGGCATTTGCTTCCTTAGCCCTTCGTTTGTGTTTATATCTTTGTCTCCTTGTTGAACTGAGACGGGATTGGCATTTTTCAAAAGGAACTTCAGTGGGAAATGCCAGCTTCTGTCCCTCACCATGACCCCCCTTCAGAAGCAGACAAGTTAACAGGGCACATATCATTCTTTGTCCATAAGTAGCGAAGCTTAGCTCACATTCCTGAACTTTTAAGTAGGCCACTGTTCTGTTCTTTCCTGCCTCAGCCCTTTTTGAAGAAGCCACCCCAAATCCTCTCGTGAGTTCTTAGTGTGAGATTGTGTTTGTGGAGCAGAAGTCCCAGCTCGCCTCCCTGGGGAGTAGTTGAGGAAGAAGTTGCTGGGCTCTCACTGTGGCTGTAGCCCAAGTGCAGTGAAGAACCTGTATACTTTACAAGGGATAATTTGCATAAAATAAAACTATACCCCCAGAGCACTGAGCCTTCTCTCCTGTCCTCCTCACCCTTTGCCAGCATTGGAAGAAAGGACGTTTTCCCACATTCTTCTGGAATGTTCTGTGAATTCTCCTAATTTCACCAGTCAGCTGTGTCCCTCCTCCTGGCATGCTGCTGGGCGTGTGACACTCCATCTACCATTCTCACTCATCAGCTTGTCAGCAAGATGCTTACAGAACTCTTGTCATCAGTGTTTAAGAAAGTTTCCTATAATTGCAATGATTTTTGTTTGTTCAATGTGTCATAGTTTACAGAGGGCTTTATTAAAGTACATTATGACCACTCACTCTTGACAACCTTGAGATGGGTTATAGCCTCCCTTTAGAGTTTGGAAGCTGGGCAGGCAAAGTGACTGTCACACACCCAACAAATGGCAGCTTGGGTTCTGAATCCAGGGTCTTTCTACTGCATCAGGGCTGCCGCCTTCTCGCCCTTTGAAAACTTGACGTAAACACGCCCTTATTTTTGTTGTGCTGACTTTTCCTGCTCCCTCATGGAGTGAAAACCCCTGCCTTAGACCAAGAGGGCCTTTTCCTCTTTAACAGCTCTGTTATGCCACATGCATACTGAGATCTGATCCTCTTGTTAAATCATTCATGCAACAAGTGCACACATCATTGTGGGCCCTGGGTGCTTCTCTGCAACACTTTGCTTCTCTGTTTTTTTACTGCTCAAGTGGCTCTGATGA